GTGGTGGTGGTGGTGCTGCTGCTGCTGCTGCTGCTGCTGCTGGTGCTGGTGCTGGTGCTGGTGCTGATGCTGGTGCTGGTGCTGGTGGTGGTGGTGGTGGTGGTGGTGTTGGTGGTGCTGGTCGTGGTGGTGGTGGCGGCGGCGGCGGTGGTGCTGTTGTGGTGCTGGTTGGTTGCGCTGGTTGCTGGTTCTGGGAGAGGCGGTGGCGGCATCAGACTGAGAGGGAGTCTAGGAATCATGCCCCTAATTCAGGCCCCTAATTCTAGAACTTGAGTACGCAGGGTTGACAGTACATATTTCTTTTAACCCACTTATCTGTTGGGGCTTGCATGACCTTGTTAAGCACCATTGTCGATGGAGTCCTTGCGAGGTGTGGATTTTCACGCTGTTGTAGCACATTGTTGCATGCAATGACACTTGTATCGCTTGCAGCTACCGGACGTCGAATTGTGAAGAGTGAGCTCATCAACGACAGAACAAGTGCGCACAGAATTTTGTTGATGCCGCAGGTAAGAACCACTGAAGCACATTCGGGCAGGTGTTCTGTGCTAGCAGCTGCCAACCCCATCTACGGGAACTTCAATCCCAGCTTAGACCTGGCCTGGGCCTTGTTCTGGGCTGCTGTTAACGCACTTATTCGCAGCCCAGTTTTCGTTTGGAGGGCATAGAGTCCAATGGTAACTCCCACGGGAAAGAGACTTGGAAATGACATGGAAACTACCCTATATAGGCTTATATAGTGATGTCGAGAGATGGGATACAACCGTTGCCCTTTTTTCGTTTCTGGTTTGGGCTTCACAAGAAGGATGGCGGTAATTATGATGTGTCTTTCATTCTGTCTTGGGGATGCTCCCGTCTTCTAGAGCCAGAGTGTTTTCTTGTAGACCTTGGTGACACGACCCATACTCAAGATTTGCATTTGCAGGTAAAGTCTGACACTGGGCACAAAAAGGGCTTGAATGGAGCCGGGCATTGCTGTCACTTCTTGGATCTTGGGGCGCGTGCCAGCTCTGATGTCCGCTGTTGCAGCATCGCCTCAATTGTCTCTTAACATGCCTAAGGGTCACACATGCACTGGCCGCGTTGCAAAGGCTGCAGCCCTGCGAGGAAATCTCAATGCCGAACACAACTTGTGCGCAATTTTTAGTGTCCCTACGGGGTCTGGCAACAAAGCAATACAGCAAGAATGTTGAGAGCTGAAGTGAGTCGATGCTTATCCAGTCTCCTTATGGTTGCCCTGACATTTGGGGCCGAAGCGAAGCAATGAGGCCGTGCATCTTACCATGACAACTTACACATTACAGTGCCTGCAGACTGCAGCGACACGACAGTAAGCCGGGCTCATTTTGCTTCACTTTACTCTGAGCTGTCATGGAGGTGGGGGTGGCAGGTAAAGTGGAACATACCAAGCATTACGTTTGGATGGCAGAAAAGGTTCTGCATCTTCACCCTGCAAACGCAAGGTCAAGAACATCGGCTTGCCAGACTCCTTGCTCTCCCGATTCGACCTGATTTTCGCACCTTGGCACGACAGATAGGGCGCAGGCATGTTTTCCCCCGTGCAGCAGGCATCCACTTGAGTTCCGGCTACTTCTTCTCTTAATGACGGAAGATCCTATGGTATGCCTTTCCGGCTGTTCTACTTCCAGACTACGAGGCGTGACACCTAATGAGCGCGGCAAAGGTGATCTTAGGAGCAGGCGTCTTGCCAGACTTGCATGGTTTCACTTTCGTGAGGCCCTTTACTTCCTGAGAAGCTCATTTGCGGCGGCAACCCCAAGACCCTGACTCTAAAACCATGCCTGGACTTTACTCGTCCTAAACAGCCATGTGCCGAGATCGTGCGGGACAACAGCACAGAGGAGCTGGATCGGAAGATTGCCGAGCAAGTGGTTCGGCTGGGGAGCCCGGAGTTTTGAGTCTGTGTGGCAAGGGGTGATGAGGGGTCCCTGGCACAAGCCTCTCATATGGACTGCTGTTTGGTTCCATCCGCAAGTTCGCTGAGAGGCCTTTCTTATGCATACTCCAGTTCTAGTCCAAGCCTCAAGTCTTCATATTCAGACTTACAACTGGCGTGCTGCAAACCTGAAGTACAAATCAATGCATCCTGAAGGAGCTGAAGCTCAGTCCCCAAAATCTTACACAGAGCTTCGCAAGCATTAGCAATAGAAATAACGATAATACATATAAAAGTAGCAGTAGCAATAATGTTAACAGTACTTGGTAATAATAATCATTCTTATAATATGGTGTTGACTTGTCACTTCGGCACTGCGGTCTTACAACAGGGCACGCCCCGCTTTGCTATGAGTTGTCTTCTATGGTTGTTATGTGGAGTCGGCTCCCCATGGGAGGACTACTCTCCCCAAACTTGGTCTGCTATCGAAATTTTGGAGTAGGCATCTGTCTGCTACCTTAGTACTCAAATGAACAGCGCCGAAAATCACAAAAGCGAAGTCCTTTGTGAAGGCTGAGGTGCCCAATATTCCAGAAGTCATGGTCCTTGCGCTAAACCCATTATAGTAGGTCCATTTTCTTTTCCATTGTCACTATATAACCTGAATATAGTTATACCCTATTATCATGTAGTAGTCTCCATTTTCTTTTCCATTATGCCTATATAACCCCTGTACTTTTCATCCCGGAGCGCGTGGTGCTAAGATGCGCTAAGCAGGAGTGTTTTTTCATGCACAGGTCGGCTCACCTGTATGCCCATCATCCGATAGACTCCACAGGCTACTAGTCTCCAGGTCTAGGTTGCTCCGGGCTCACAACCCCTCTAAGCTGGGATTGTCCCCTGCTCCCAAGAGGAAATCCTAGAATTCCGTGATAATTCGCATACTCAATCCGCGTTTTCGGCCTTGCATCACGGGCCTTGCCGTGAGAGACTGGAGTGTCGCGTGTCGCAACCCGAAAGCGCAAGCCCTTGCCGCACGTGCAGCTATTTCTTTTGAACGTGCCCCGTACCTCTCCGACACCCAGACCCCTGCAGGAGGGCAGCATCATCAGCATCATGGGATGTACAACTCCAAAAGTATATCGAAATCCTTCAGCGCCATTTCTATGCCCTCATACGTGATACGGGGAACCTTCGGTTCAATTAACACGTGAGTGTTGCAGACCAAAAAACAAGGAATGTGACCCTCAAGTTCCTGCGGGTGGGGTGCGGGGTTAATGATATCAGTGCGTTTGGATCCAAGCGGCTTTAAGGGTTGATTGGTTCCTGATTCTCCACGACTGGGGCGGCGGCATCCTGGCAAGTGGCACGACATGCCAGCTTCTTTCCACCCAGCAGAAGAGGACGCTGTGACCCTGCTTGCGGGGTTCGAATGTACAGGGGTTATATAGGCATAATGGAAAAGAAAATGGAAACTACTACATGATAATAGGGTATAACTATATTCAGGTTATATAGTGACATGGAAAAGAAAATGGACCTACTATAATGGGTTCTAGATATATTTCTTTTCCAAAAGTGGGGTGCTGGTGAGAAACAGACCCCCCAATGATGCTGATGATGTTGCTCGCGAGCGTTAACAGCATCATTACAGGTTTGCTTCTCCAATCCCTAGTCTGGGCTATCTGGGCTTCGGATGTCTGGAAACCCGCGGAAAGAGCTTGCAACTTGGGGAGGTCCGAATGGTCTCGTCCCCACACCCCATCAAAACTCACAATTTGCACCCTGGGGCTTAGGGTTTAGGGGTTAGGGGTTTAGGGTTTAGGGGGCCCGGCTTGCGGATGCTGACTCCAGCAGGGAAAAAAGCTGGGGTCATCCCTGGATCCCAAGCATCTCCAATTTCGATTGTGGGCCTTGATTCTTGCATGCAGGCAGCACATGACCCGCTTTGACGGAGCCAACTCCAAGCGAGGTGTTGAGGAGGTCCACTGCAGTGTCTTGGCTGCGAGCCATATTGTGAAAAGGCCCCATATAGTATATGATAGTAGATTGCAGTATATTATAGTGTGTTATATAGTATATTCTAGTAGATCATAGTGTGTTATAGTTTATCATAGTATATTATAGTAGGATATTGTAACAGGTTATAGTTCATTAGTATACCTAGTGGTACCATGATTATAGGTGTTGTACAGGGTTTCAAATTGAGGGCTATAGGCATCGGAGTGCAGAATCACTACATGTGAGGTTTTATATGGTTCTAGGTAGGGTTGAAGGTTGAGAGGGCGTTCCACCGACTTAGTATGCCAGTCTTGCATCTCAGGAAGCAGGAAGCTCCAGTCATTAGCGGCTCCGCGGCCACGACAATGTTTAGCAAAGCGGTTCAAGCCCACTTTAATACTTTAATGTTTTCGCCCCTTGGCCCTAAACCCTGTGTAATAGATTGCCTTATTCCCTCAAGATACTTCGGACATTTTCTTCCTGGCCAGCAGTAGCTTTGAGGAGTCAGAATTAGCAACATCACAGGAATGCTTCATCCTACATGAGCTATAGCCTAAACTCATGAAAGGGGGTTATATAGGGTTTCAGGTTTAGGGTCTAAACTCCTGGAAGGGGGACTATGGTACAGGGTTTGTTAAGCTATAGCTCATATCTAGACCTTGGACGTGCAGTAGTAAAAGCATAAGTACTGCAACAAGGGTGATGAGAGGGAAGGAGACGCAGATCTGCTACAGGGACGAAAGAACCTACTTAATGAAAAAGAATTGTGGGGGATTCCCAAAATTTGGGTTATCTTATTTGGGGGTCCCAATAATAAGGACTATAGTATTTTGGGTCTAAATTCCCTGTTTTGGGCAACTACCTTGTTACCCTCTTTCAATTTTCAGAATCAGAAATCCTCTCCGTAAAGCAACACAAATCCGTGTGACCGGTTTTGGTCGAGTATTCCACTTGTCAGGCCAGCGTTATCATCTTTGTCACGTTTTGTAGGGCGGATACGTTTTTTACATTGTACATTTCTACACCAGCCACGGCCCAAATTCACCGGGATTCCTTTGACGGGAGACTTCCTAACCTTTGTTTTGCTTGCGGGTTTCGCGCTCCAGCGAAGTATTACGCACAAGGCAGCATTCAGGCTTCCTGTTTGAAGTTTATCTTCGTCGCGTGTTGCAAGTGCTGAGCCGTGTCATCATTGATGGACCGTTACACTTCCATTGCATGTCACCAATGCTAAAGGTTGCAAATATCGCGGCTGGGGGCGTTGTCATCACTGTAGTTGCCATCGGTTTTTGGTATCCTCGTTTTCTTGCCACGTGTTCAGGGTCCAAGCAGTCACAAAGAACGGGGTTAGTCAGGGTTGTTATCTTTGTAGCTGTTGTTATTTGTCGAGCGCCGTGACGTGGACAGTCATATCTTCGTCGCGTGTCAAAGATGCTGAGTCACTGGCGATTCTAGATTCTAGAGCGCGGGGTCGTGATTGTCATGTCGTTCTGCGGAGGAGGGTGCATGGAGAGGAGAGGGAGGAGGGAAGAGGCCAGAAGGTCGGAAGGAGGGTGGGAAAGAGGGTGGGAAGGAGAGAGGAAAGGAAGAAGGAGAGACAGGATGCAAGGAGCGATCATTGAGCACGGAACAGATCGCGGAGCATCATTGGTTCATGGAAAAAGAAACAGGGAGCATGGAGGTGGAGAAGGGGGAAAGACATTGTGCTCATGTTATGCTGTGTGTCCCCTCTTACGAAGGCTACGCGCAGCCCGCCACACATTTTGGTATTCGAGTTGTCGGCTCCTAGTTGACTAGTTGACTTGGCAAGAAGTGGACCGTCACTTGTGCTCTCGCAGAATTGATCTTCCGGTGGAAAAAATTGTCGAAGAGGTGCGAAAAAGGCCGACTGCCCATCGAGCTCTTTGAAGCAGGAAGTTTGGACACATGTTGTGTTGCATGTAGTCCATCGCCTTTGGTGCTGTTGCGTCAAGTTCTTGATTAGGAAATTGGCCTCGTGCTGGACCTCTCAATCTGCCGCAATTTGGTGTTGCCATGACGAGTACTATGTGACTACAGATAACACGATTTTGTTCAATCGCGCGATCGTCAGCCCCTTGCATCGAATTTCGCTCGCACATCCACATCCGAGCTTTAGGGTCCCCAGCCACTCGGGATACGGCCTATGTTTCATCTTGATGTGGATTTTTAGTATGTTCCGGAGTCAGGAGTACTTCGCTTGCAGCAGACACAAATTGCAGCGCAAGCCCTTGATTTCTCGTATTTTACAGGCGCGAGATCAAGTGCAATATGTGCCACACACAAGTGCACAGGCTATTTGGATCTTGGTTTCCTTTTTTCCAAAGCTCCTGGTAGCAACTACCACATGACACCGCGCTTTTCCCGCATGCTGCGAAGCTGATAGGAGTGCCGGCTTTGATGGCAAGGGGTGTTTTGGCTTTCTCTACTTGGCGACTGGCGCCAAAATGGCAACGTTTACGAATCGGAGCCTGGGATAGCCCTGATTTCATCTGCACTCTCCTACGATCCGTCTAAGACCGAAATTGCACAGTTTATTCAATCACACAAAAACCGTGACTGTTACTCTTCCTGCTGCAGGTGCGCAGTATGGCGCCTTTCTTTAGTGAGCCTCCTCAACCATGTAGCGCGTAACGTAAGCCTAACCCATTCGAAACGCCCTGGGTAAATTGAGCTGCCTGCATGTCCAAGGCGTCTTGGAGCGACGCGCCAAGGCGGAAGCCAACTCGGACGAAGCAACGAAAGTGTTCGAGGAGATGTTTTATCATGTATGTAATTCGGGTTTTAGGTTTTTGGGGATATATAAGGATTGGACGTAAGGATATAAAGCGTTTAGGGCTTAATTAAGTACTTACGGGTTCCGAGGGCCATTTGCAGGGTCACTGGAAAGAGCTTTGTCGAAAGCAGGACAATGACTTTGGTACATGCCCTTGTGCTGTCACCATAACTTCTCATCGTTTCTGCCGCTGCTGTTGCTGTTGCTGGTAGTACTACTGTTAAACAAGGTCGTATGTGAACATATTCCTGTAATCTTTATGCTCACAACGGCTGAGGATAGCTGGTCCAGAGGAATGCTTCACTACACGTCCTGGCACTGGCTTTTTGCAGTTCAAGGCTTCCAAGGTTTCTGGATCAAGGAACGCTAGGGTAGTCTCCTAAGCAACAAGCAACTTTCGGAAACAACCGACGAGGTAGTTTGCGATCTGGATGGGAGAGGGAGCAAGGAAGGGGAGAGCCGAGGGGAGGTGATGAGTTGTGAGAAATGCGCGTCTGGCCTGAATTTTCAGAATAGGTGCACTTCTGCTTCATCCGGCTCGCAAATAGGTGCGCAAAGCAGTGAGCATCTCATACAAATTTCAGCCTGCCCCCTGAGCTGATGTGTGGATGCCTACTGTCCTCTGCTGCTGCAACCTTTGTGAGCTCATGTGAGGGCTTCAGGGGTCTGAATTGGGTCCACCCTTTCATGGAAAGTACCACCTCTTGCTCAGGCTGAGTATGACCATGCCCCAGATGCTAGTTAGGAAAATTCGGGTCCTTGAGATTATCGGTGGGAGATGCAGAAGCCCAACCCTGGTTAGCCGGAAGGCCTGACCCTGAAACTCGGCCTAAGCCCGAACCCTACGTAGGGGTAATATTGGGATAATTGGGTTATATAGGGGTTATATTGAGGTTGTATTGGGATAATGGAAAAGAAAATGGAAACTACAGGGATTATAATTAACCTATACCCTTGAAACTCCAGAAGCCAAATCATGGCGCGCTCGCGATCGGAAGGATCAGATGCCATTGGCTGACGATGATGAAGCCAAGGAGCTTGTCACGGTTGACTTCTTGCAGAAATACATCAGGCAGGGTTGTCAAACATGGAGGAGTGCTCCATGCCGCGATTCGGACCGTTTCCGCTAATTACTACTACGACTGGTTTCTGTAGTGTAGCAGGTTCAAGAGTCTCCAGTCACTTGAGGCTCCTGACATAGTCCGCTGTGAGACTTCACAGTATCTCGCTGGAGGAGGGTGCAAGGTGAGCGGGTTGTGCAGTATGATCTCGGGTTGAGGCAGTGCAGCATGAGGTTAGGCAGCATGCACCTTATTCCATTGCCCCCTGCGATCCAAGGCTGCTAACCCCCCTACGGGCTTACAACTCTTGCCCCCAAGCAGCTTTCACGTCAGTGTGCCTTTTTGATACGAAGGTTTGCCAAGCGGCTGACGCCGATCCTGTCAGAAGAGGCCAAGAGTCCATCGTTTTTGTCATGATTCCCTCTGCCGCCGGCGTAATCGTGATCGTATTGTTGCTGTAACTGTTGTCATATTATGCCGCTTATCGTTATCGTTCTTTTTTCTATGGGTTTGTCTAGCAGCGCTGCTGCTGCTACTGCCGCTGCTGCTGCTGTATCTGCTGTTGCTGCTATGGTTCTACAAACAAGTTCCGCCTATGACTAGGTATCTTCATTTGGGTGACGAGGATGCCTACTATTAGATGTCAGTAGGATCATCACTGTCGTGCAGGTACTGTGCATGACCAGCAGCGCAACTACAACTACAACTGCGTCCGTGAAGACGGCTAGGGGCACTGATACTCCTTATTGTCTCAAGCAACGAACCTGGTTTAGGATTAAGTCTTCAAGGGGTCTTGCTGCCATGTTGTTGCTTTAATCTCTGAGCTGCGAGTTTCACAAACTTGGATCAGTTCCTTTACAGAGGTCGCAAACTCTTGCTATTTCAACGAGGCTCATTTCTACAGGCTTCTGTCTTCTGTAACCCACATATATATACATATATCCTATTATAATATTTCTTTTCCATTATTCCCATATAACCATATACACCCAATATTGTTCCGACACTCACAGGCCCGAGAGTATGTGTCGGAAAAGTACGTGGAGATGAGGACTGCAGTCGGCCGGGTCATCCTTGTACATGACTCAAGTTTTAAGGCACATTATCAGTCCAGATCGATTTCGATTTGTGGTTGTTTGTTATGAAGTGTGTGGTGACCCAGTTCCTGTGTAGCCACTTGCCAAATTGCTGCCAGTGAGCAGCTGCAGTAACCACTTGGGAAGACACAAAAGGATTGAGGAGACCCGGGGTAAATCGAGGTTGCCATAAATGTCAAACCTAGACAACTTCCGTTTCTCACTCCCATGATATCCTTTCGCGAGGCACGCGATTGAGTGAATCTTCGTCAGCATCTCGCGGAGTGTCCCTTCAGCCTGGGGACATCGCAAGTAGTTTCCTAGAGTCTTAGAACTTTGCGACCATGTGTCTTAACCTGTTGCTTGATATGCGGAAAGCTAGCATCCTGAGAGCAACCTGAAACGCATCTCAGATTGGATGGCGTGAGCCAAGTGATTCTGTGAGACATTGGGTGGTGGCAGCTAAAACTGGTAGTTTCCGTCCAAACCACCCGCCCTGGGCCCTAGACTCCCTAAACCCTAAATCGTAGTTTCCATTTTCTTTTCCATTTTTCCTATATATCCCCTATATAACCTCTATATAACCCCTATATAGCCCTCAGCCCCCGGAGCTTCCGAGTCAGAAAAGGCATAAATCTAGAACCCGGAGGCACCTTCTGGTTGCTTCAAGCCGCCTATAGAACAAGGAGAATTCCCCCATACCACAAGACAGCTTGCAGAAGCGAACCACGTGCCAGCAAAACTCCAGATGGACAAAAAGTCTTGTGCTCATTCTTGCACCCTTGACTGCGCCCGCTGATAGTGTAGTAAGGAATGACGCAATACGTCCTTTTAAATCCCCAAGGGTTAACGCCCTAAGCCTTAAAACTTAAAATGGAAAAGCCAAACCCTATTGATCCCCACCGTAAAACCTAAACCTAAACCCTACATGCATACATCTACAGCATTCTACAGCTATTCACACCTTCATTCCTAAACCCCAAACAGTCGTCTCCGTTGTCTTTTTCATTATCCCTATATATCCCCAATATAACCCTTATATATCCCCTATATAACCCTTATATATCCCCCTATATAACCGCTCTATAACCCCCATATAACCCTTATAATTGGTTCCTGCGCTGACAGGATGCGTTTCCAGAGCGGCTTCGCTGATTTGCAAGCTGAGAACTCCGAACGCAAGCCCAGGCGACTGGCCGGATCTCATGTTACAGGGCTTAGGGTGTAGGATTTAGTGTTTGTGGTTTAAGTGGTTTAAGTGGTTTAAGGGTTTAGGGTTGAGGATTTAGTGTTTGTGGTTTAAGTGGATTAAGGGTTTAGGGTTTAGGATTTGGGGTTAAGGGTGTAGGATTGGGGGTTTAGGGTCCCTCGTCACAAGGGTAATCATAACCCGATTATATGGGATTATACCGGGGTTATATGAGGGGGGGGTATAGGGTATGGGGGAATGATAGCACAGGCGCAGTTTTCTTGGCTAATTGTTGTCAGCGGTCTGTATATTGAAGCCCCAAAAGGAAAACAACATCATATAGTCATGGTTTCAAAAAGTACCCTGTACCCTACACCCATCCCAAAGGGGAACTTCTTCACCCAGTTGTAGTTCTACAGACGCCGGTTTCTGCGATCGTTGCTGTTGCTGCTTGGTTGAGGGTTTCATTGTAGGGCTTTGGCTCATACCCTAAACCCCAAACCCTAAAAGGAGCGCTGCACAAAATCCTAAACCCCAAACCCCAAACCCTAAGCTCCAAACTCCAAACCCCAACCCTAACCCCAAACTCCAAAACCCAAACCCTAAACCCTCAACCCCAAACCCCAAACTCCAAACCCTAACCTAAACCCTAAAGGGGGCGTTGCAAAAAATCCTAAACCCTAAACCCCAAACCCGAAACCCCAAACCCTAAACCCCAAACCCTTAACCATAAACCCTAAAAGGGACCCCAAGCTCTAAACCTTCAACCCCAGACGGCAAAGGACTCCGAAAAACAAGGGAATAGTTCCCAAAGTTATGGAGCCATTTTGGTTATAGGCTATATTACGGCACCTAATATTTAGGGGTACCAAATTGGGACTACCCAAGGAACACAATGCTAGCACACCAGGAAATGATGGAACACATCTCTGTATAATCCCTATGTATACCCTGTTATAGCGTAGTAGATTCCATCTTCTTTTCCAGTATCCCATATAACCCCCGAAGCCTAAACCTTATAAAGCTCCAACCCTGCTAAAGGCTGGCTGTGACGACGCGAACCTTAGAGGTCTGCCTCCCAGATCTTCTCAATGGGGTTAGGGTTTGGGAGCACCACTTCGGGTACCTAAGAGGGGGTGTGAATTGGACTGTGACCACTAGTTGTATGTTGTACTGTTTCACATGTCTTATGTCGTTTCATACTCCACGCTTGTGATCTAGGCCCGTGCATGATTGCAAGGGCCGTCTTTGGCTCACGTTAGCACTGGGCTTGCCGCTAGGGAGGATCCATCCTAGGCATTGGTATGTCTGAATTTGCTGGCGGTGCTGTCCAGGGCCTTGTCTTTGCTAGCTTAAGGTCTTCCATCTAAGCACCCAAATTTTGCCTCCCACATCATAACTGTTGGATTTCAGCCAACGGGCTGAAGGCGGCTACATCGTGGCTTTAGCTGACACAGTCTCGAAGCTGACACAGTCTGGAAGCTTACAGTCCGCCTGTGCGGGTAGTGGAGACAGCCCACGCGCAATCTTACTGGTTCCTAGTAGGGAATAAAGGAATACATTATATGAGGATTATATGGGGATGATGGAAAATGGAAACTACTACAATTCAATGCGGTACTGTCTATTTAATAGTACAGGGATAATATTCCCGTATTCCCTACTCAGCACCCGTAAGTAAAGTGGACCGCCCTTAACAACAGATTAGCAGCCAGACTCCTGTCTTACGGACACTTCACGATCCGACATTGTGGCAGCCTTCTGCTGCACCCCCGCTACCTTCTGCTCTTTCCATTGCTGCTTGGTTGCGATGCCTCACGGATACCATGGGTGGTGACAATTTGCAGCTCTAAAAATATTCCCTCAGCGCAGCTGTGAAGCCATCATACGCGTTTGCCTAGGGTTCTATCCCCTACCTGTCCTGAGAAGTGTTTGATTCCTGATTAGCGAGTCAAGTACGAGTAGGCAGGGACCGTCCTGTGAAAGGTCATGTATGGACAACGTGATTTCGGACAGATGATCAGATGGTTAGATGGCAGACGGAATCAAAATAAGCCTTTCCAAGCCCCCAGAAATTTTAGTCCCTGAGGCCAGACTAGCCTTACTGGTGGCTAGCAGGGAATTATGGAATCTAATTCCTATATGATCCCTGCATATGCGTCCGCGCTCCGCGTCTTCAGCTCCCCCCCCGCCCTTTGTATGGTCCTCATCTGGGAATGAGCCGTATCTATAACATCCCAGAACCATGAACTCTCAGAAAACTTTTTAACACCTCAAAAACCCTCTATAAACCCTCACCACAGGATCCAAACCACAGGACCCAGGTGGGGGTACCTTCATAAGCTTCCACTGAAGACTCTATGACACCTTCATAAGCTCATAAACTCTCTAAGAGCCCTTCGGAAGACTGGGGGGGGGTGGGCGTCAATGCTGACGCAGATATACCCTACTGTAAGGTAGTAGTTTCCATTTTCTTTTCCAGTATCCTTATACAATCCGCGCTAAATATATTCCCTCATTCCCTACTATCCGCTAGTAAGACTTCAAGCTGATACTGGTAATCATCTAGACCCCAAAAGTACACGGCAATGCAGGCCTTGATTCGACTGGCATCAGCCCATGCAAAGCTGAAGCTACGCCGGGACCTCATTGCTTGTGGTAGGAATATTTCAAAATTGTAGAACCCTATCGTCATAGCCATGATATACGTAGCGGGAAGAGCTGCTGATCATCTGATCTGGGGTCATATAGCGGATCCCACATTTGAGAAGGATTGTTGGGGTGCAATGTCTTGTCCGGGAGTTCTGATTTCAGTCAGCTCCGCTTGCGGACCCTGACAGAGCTCTCCCAGTACTTGTCTCATTCAGTCGTTTTGCATGTCCTGCATGTTTGGCGGTGTTGTACGAAGGTCGCATCCGAAAACTGTTGACAACGATATTCACGGCCTTCAATCTGCATCCCTTGCTTGGTAAGGGCTAAAATACCTCAAATGCGTCATCCCGCCCCTGCCTGCGACCAAGTGAAAATTGCTTCCTTGTACAAGTTGATCCTAGAATCGATATGAACCAAGTCAATGAACACTAATTGCGCTGCATATGAAAAAGTTTTGCCAAGCAAGCACAAAGCGATTTGGCTCAAGACCAAATCCCTCCGCAATCCGCTTTAGCAGGCGCTCACAGCTTAGAAGTACTAATCACTCTAGATCGGAATGCGGCACTGCCCGTGTATTCCTGAATTGGACCCATTCCACGTGCCTGCATAGTCCTTACATACTCGTAGTTCCTCCAAGGAAACCTTTACTTTTCCCGGAAGAATATCCTAAATCCTGAGCGATGCGTGCTGCGCTCGCTTTGTCCAAACCCTTGCAATCAGAGCCCTGTGAGACTCTGGCATCCCAAGTCTTAACTCCCATATGAGCCATAATCTAAAGTCATTAAAGGGGGCGATATAGGGGGCTATATAAAGGATTATATAGGGGAGTATATGAAGTAGTATTGCAGGGGTTTAATACTAGGAGTTTGGACTATGGCTCATCTGATGAGGCAAGGAGTTCATTCTTGTGGAGGACGTGGAGGTGGCCTACAGGTACGCCCCTGAACTACCTGAGAGTCTGGGTTGCTGTTAAGGAACTTAAATCAAGTTACTATAGTACGGGAACCCTATGATTTACTATATACCCATAATACGGTTGCCTAATTTAAGTTCCTTACCAGCAACCTAGGAGAATTGGTTCTGGTTCTGTCTGAAAGAATCCAACAGTTGCAGTTGTACTGGCAGCTAGATAAGTCATGATTATCTTATCGTCCCCTTTGACTAGATTGAATATGGAATTGCCCAATATCATAATCAGATCCCCATTTACCCCATATTCTATCTACTTAAGGGGGGGTCATCGGTGCCAGAGAAAGCTTTCAAGTCCAATGTCTTACATCACAATGGATCCGGCGCAAGAATCAAGAGGGCTTAGGGTTGTATTCCAAGATTCCCATCAGCGGAGCATCATCCCCAGTTTTGGGTTTGTATTTTGAACTTGTCTAGCATGTGAGCTATAGTCTGAATTCCTGAGAGGGCAGTCATGTAGGGACTATTTAGGGGAGTATCCTACTTTACCTCTGTTTCCAATCGGAGGTGTATGGATCCCTTACGGTTTGTTGGCACATACTAATAAGAACGTTTGTAGTTCTAAATCGTAGATCCTTAAGTATAGCCACTGGTGACATGTGTAACAGGGCCTATGCACGTCTGCTACCGGGCAGGAGTGTACAACAATCAGAAGCTAGCCAACATAGTTATGGAGAATTGCGGGGTCCTTGAGGTCATATATACGGTTCAGTGACCCTATTCGTGGAAATACCCACTTTCCAGTGAAGGGCAAGGACAAGCAGCGCCCGCACAACATCAGATGCGCTCTGAGGAAATTTTCGTCACCGTTTCAGTAGTGATGTTCTTTGAACGAAGTTGGGATTCTGTATTGGCACGTGACGGGCACCAAAATGATTCGTGTACTTTTGATGCAGCTCGAACCGCGACGATCAGCAAATAGCTGCTGCAATTTGCCTGCGCCAGTTCGCCTTGAAACTCATTGCCCTCTACATCGGCATGATTTTGACCGTTCTATTATGAACAGCTTCTAGAGGGGAATGTTCATGATCCACACAATGCCTGATCATGTTTGCAAAAAGGTCACCAATTTAGCCGTGGCCAGATGGGGATCCCAAAGAACAGGCTGGATATGTGAGCCACGGGCTCAAGTTAGGTTGGGGGGACCTATAGGGAGTATAGGGGGGGCCTATTAAGGAGTATGCTAGAACTTTAGTCCAGGGCTCATGTGGTTTCCTATCAGGGCTGCTTACCCAAGCTTTAAGCATGTACATCTGTGGCTAAGCCTTGAGCCCCAGGTTGATGCTGGCCGCAAGGGAAGAGGCCGGATGCCCCAAGAATGAGCTTAAGACGTTGAGGCTTCAGTGTTACACCTCGAAACGCTGCATGTAGGAGGATGGGGAGGAAACTGTTGCCCAGCGGTCCTAGAGGGTCCTAGAGGTTTGTTCTTTTGACTTCAACAGACGCTGTCACGGGCGATCCAAGACCTCCCGAAATCCATAGGTCCAGCGGCTCTTGAGACCTCCCGTGCACCGGATGCACACTTGTCAGAGCAACTAGACCCCTCATTGATGGGTGGTGTTGTTCACAGCTATGCTGATGTCTGGGCTTCTAGGTGGACCTTGGGTTCATGTTGTGCAAACCACAGATACACTTTACAGTTTACAGGTCTACAATGCGGCAGCTAGCGGCCTCTATCATGCAGAACGACGAAGCCAGCTCAAATCTTAAACTTGATCTACACAGCCCAAACCGTCAATCCCCAATCCGCAGCTTTCAGACCCGCAACCATAAAACAGTCTGCTGCTCTGGGATCCTACAAGCACGGCAATTGGATAAACATGTTTTTGAAGCCCGGGACATCTTGATGCAAGCATAGCTATCACACTTCCTTCAACAGGGAGAGATGGTATGACCAACAATAAGAATCATGGTAGCATGGTTGAAGGCAGCATGCTTATACTCTCGATACTGATAGATGCGGTTCGTGCTCACGTGAGTTACAGTTGCAATAATCGCAACCCTTGCCAAAAAAATCCAAGTAGAACGAGGGATAGCATTTACGCTAGCTACAGTTTTTTGAGCAGGACGTATCGTAGAGTAAGAGATGATTGAAATCAATCTTGTGCTTCGGGCTCAAGTTTCAGGGTTGGATGTACTTACCTCTGGTTAGCAAGGAGTGAAGGAATGGATCCTTATAGTACCCCCCCCCCCCTCACAAAATTTTCACCAAGAATATGCTAGTTTCGATGTTCTTTTTCGTATCCTTCATTTCCTGCTAACCAGAGGTAAGTGTAGGAACCTTCTCTCCTGATCCTAAACCCTAAACCCTAAACCTAGCCCCTAAATCCTGTTCCTGGAGGAAGTTCCGGATGTGCCCGCACAAGCTGCGCCGGCCCAGGATGACCAAGATGGTCAGGAAAAGCTGCCTCGTAAATTCTGAGGCTTCTTGGGTCCTGTGGGGTAAAGATAGGGTTTAGGGTTTAGGGTTTAGGGTTTAGGGTTTAGGGGTCATTTGACAAGGGGTTGTACGGGGGCAATAGTCTGAATTCCTTAACGGGGGTTACATAGAGGATTTTACGGAGGAAAATAGGGGTATAGCTCATATAATAGAGGGTGTATGGGTTCAGGGTTCGGGGGTTAAGGGTTTATGGTTCAGGGTTGTAGGGCCACATGATATAGGATTTTAAAAGGTATATGCAGTACAAAAAAGTTTATTGACCATGATCTTAGGAGTGTATGAGGCGACGTTGACTTTGATCAATGTGGCTCTTGAAACTTCAGAAAACCCTAAACCCTAAACCCTATTTAGGACGGGGCGTTGGCTTTGGGTTGCTCCATACGGGACCAGGTGATAAAACAGTAGGGAGCATGACTAAACAGGACCAAACAAGGGGATGGCGCCAGGAGCTTGAAGGGATTTACCTGAACCGTGGATTTATGATTGAAATCTAGTCGTTTCCATTTTTTCCAGTATCCCAATAGAACCCCAAAAACCCTGAGAGATTTGGGACAGTTCCTACCCAAGCTCGGAGGGGACCAGAATGCCCTAAACTCTAATACCAACCAGCGGGCGACAAGCCGTAGCCGTTCCTTTTTTCCCAGCACGTCTTGTGTAGGATATTGTAGGATGCTAGAAACTTGGAGGATTGTTTTGCGGTTCTCCTGTTTGAAAGGATTTGACGTGTCTTTTGTAAGCCCGTAGAGTGTTGGCAGGAAATTTCAGATGCGTAGCCGTTCCAATATGCCTAGCCTGCTTGGCACACCTCGAGACGAAGGGAGCGAGCTAACTTACAAAGTACAAGCTGAGGGATTCCACCTTGGGGGCATGGTCAGATGCACAAGCCCAGGGTTTTGCGTTTTTTTTTTTTTTTTTTT